TAACTCGGACACCGCAGTAGGCCCAGTGTGTCTTGTTGTGCGAAGTGGCTGTCCGCAGACTGAGGGTCAGACTCAATGGCTCCCTCTTAATGTGGCCTTTATGACGCTCCCCGTCGGGAGCCTACCTAGCGAGAGGTTATGTCGGTACGCGTGTTGATTGTTGGTCGCGCCAGCTGTCTGCGCCCTCCCCCTTCTCCGTCCTTTTTGATTCTGTCTTGACAACCGTGTCCCAGCGTGTGTGTGGTGTGGAGTGGAGTAGGTTCTCCTCGAGTCCACTGTCGGTGTACATCTCGCGGGAGTCACCGTGTTGCCTCAAATCGTTAAAGCTTGCAGTGGACATCGTCAAAGTCGACGGTCAAACTGTCGTATGACTTGTACTGAGGCAGATGGTAACCCTATGGCACGTACAACCAGGGTGCCGAAATTGGATGAGAAACAGTGCAGTAGAGGAGACTCGTGCGCTCGCAAATGAACGACATTATAGTGAATAGTCGTAATGGAGCATGCAATTAGAATCGAAACTAGTACTTTAGAGTTGGTCAGAAAGGTTAGCTCTGACGGTGGGTTTCAGTTGTTAAAATGCAATCTGCTTCTCTTAATTCATGGGGTTTAATTAACACTAAGGTCTGTTTAAGCTAATTAAACCCCTTCTTTTGCCTGCAAGAACTTGTTAGAAGGTCTTCCCAGAGTTTACTGGAAACTTGTGTCTACCTATGGAATTAAGACAAAAGTCACAGTGATATCCGGAAAAGGAGGGTATTCATAATAGTAAACATGGGATTCCCGAATGGCAATTCAAAAGAAGGAGCCTCATAATATTATTTACGGCTGTTTTCCCAAAAGTTGGAAGCATTTGAGGGATTATTGAACAAGGATATTCAAAGTATGATAACGATATGTATACATTCTTTCAACATTCTATTCATTGTAAAGTATAAGGTACGAAGTAGAAAGACGAAAATACGCGTGGCTGTGATAAGGTTCAATGAAATAAATGAAATTTGGAAGTAAAAAACGAAAATCTGAATGCCATGTGTGTAAACATTTGGCTAATACCTGATCTGGCAGCTGAGTTTAATAATGTTCCGTGCAAAGCGTGCATAAAAACGTTATAGTATACTCTAATATACCTAAATATATTTTAAACGTACCCTCCAAATCTTTATGGTCATACGATTTGTGTCTTCTTTTGCCTTTGAAACTTCGAAGTTCGAAAGGCTAGATTTACGATCGGCAAAAGACTCAATATCTGACAGACTCTGTAACGAAAAGAGAATGACGGGGGCTGAATTAATGTTCTAGCGGATAAAACAGAATTCTAAACATAACATAAATACACGGAAGATCACAATCTGCCCGATTACACAAACACTCACTTCAAATGGATCGACGGGTTAAGATGACGAGTTCAATGTTAAACACTCAAGAATTTTTGTGCCCAGGTTTAGCGAACTTGCGACTCGAACGTTAGGAACAGTAGGATAAAGTATAACTTGGTATAAAAGAGAATATGCATACCGACTAACGCGGTGGCAGGGATATCACCAAATTGGTACCGATTTCATCAAGAAAAAGGGAACCTTAAGATGGGTACTCGTTTCTCCGACAAATATACAACCAGAATGTACTCTTTAAAAAAACCCAGCCTTAGTGCTCTAAATACTTAATTGTATCGGCGTGCTGCACAAATTCAGTGGTACGTTTAAATCTAGTGGCTTATACAAACAATCTTTTTGATTAATATGTACGTTCATTGGTTGCGTCGCATGTCTAGCGGTTGATTTTCTGAGGGAAAAGAAGATTTCATTTACTTTCGTGTACTCATGAGCCCTTGATAAGAAGGCCTCTGAATAAGTAACCCTCAAAGTTTAGGTAAGTCGTCAACTTCGAAACCAGAGAGGACAAATTTAAACCACATCGTTTTAACCAAAGTTGCTCTTCGCTCATGTTCTGTAGGAAAATACCATCCGCACACATAACAGCCATGATAAATGAATTGCACACAAGTAAATCGGCTCAAAACCTAGAAATTTCCAGTGCATAAACCAACACTGAACGGGTGGACAAAGCTGACTTAAGCTTCCCTTGTGAATGCGAACTACGCAGTAGCTGCCTAGTTCTCTCTTTCTAACTCCCACAAAGTTCAAAGTTAAAACGACAGGGACGAGCTTGAGCACAAAGGCTAAAGGTGCCATCTACAAAGATCAGAGACACAAACCAAAACTCACTTACCCAGTACCGATCTCTGGGATGTGCCGCTAAAATAAATGTAAGCGGTGTCATTGCAAGTTGACACCCCCTCCCAATCTCGAAGTCTGTGATAGTGCGCCAGTTGATGAGGTTGCAAGTTGCGAGTACTAGAGCTATATGCCACGTCTAAGAGCATCAAGGACAAGCCCACATACAAACCATGTAAAAAAAACACTGCATCACATTATACTGCGTCACACTATACTACCCTTGATTAGCAAGTAGTCATGTTTGTCTGCCATATTTTGTTACTATTTGACCACCTTACAACTGTGGTGTCTTACCGGAAAGTGTAACTGACGTAATTTAAAAATTTTTTTCTTTGTATCCATTTATTTCCTATCATCTTGTTACCAATAGGGAGTTTAAAGGCGTTCGCCAATCGTTCCCTCAATAAGCTGATACTGATACTGAACTTTTAATAGTGAAGAAAATTCAGGACCGCTATCAAGTCCTATGCCCTCGCACACTGAGCCCAACTGTAGAAAGATGATTCGGGCGTACTGCTTGATGCGGTACAGAGTCCCCACACATGATCCAGGTGAAAACATCAATTTCTTTTGAGGCCGAATAAGTAAGCGGCAGCCAAGTTTTGTACTCATGTCCTGACTAAATCAGAGCGTTTTATAAGATTTCCGAAAAGGATTCTTTTTAGCATGTAGTTTTTAGTAAGCATCCCATAATCTAACTTTGATATTAACCGAACGGGCAGGCACATTCGAAGAAGTTTAAAATAATGTCTTCTCCATACAACCATACAGAAGAAGTGTTCTTGCTCTAAGCAGAAAAAAACATATATCGACAAAAACCGACCTGTTTCAGGCAAGAGGGATTAATGACGAGAGTGAATCTCTCTTTTGTGTTCCAGAGAAGTCGCAGGAGCGTACTTGTGTCAGTCTCCTTGAGAGTACACTCTGTAATATCCAAGTACTCGAGGGGATTGTTGTCAGCAAGTGTGTCCAAGAAGCGGACAATATCGTTCGAAGAGGCCTCTCTGCTCAATTTCAGTCGCTTCACAGTCTGCACGGAAATGAAAGGCGAAAGTCTTAAGACCGTCAGCAATAACTCATAGACGGGAGGCAGAAGATAAGTCAAAGTCTCGATTGCTTGGATAGAGTATGTTTACGTCAATGGAAATTATTCGGCTATTTTTTCATTTGTGATAAATTTTGCACGTTACGGACGAGATAGGTTATATTCGATCCGTCAGTCAAAGCCTTAAGTGTATGTGCGTCGGTAAGTTTATTTGCAATTATGAGTAAAACTAGGAGTTTCAATTTAAGCCTATTTCGCAACGAAAGTCAAATATCCCTACTGTTTGAATGCATTTTCAGATAGTTCTGGAAGTTGAATGCGGTGTTCAGGTGCCGTCAACTGCAACTACAAATATTTTTTGCCACATAGCTGTGCTCAACATGTTTTCCGTTCCCAAATCAGGTTGGATTGATAATTAAAATGGCATTTGCTTTTATCTGCAACTGTCAAATTAAAACTGCGTGCATCGTACTGTCTTATGAATAAAACAATATAATGCTTCAATTCTTGTGTCCTCAATATTCTAAGCCAGCAAATTTCAGTCAATAAACCCTTTAGGGTTGTTTGAAAGAGATCGTATCCTTTGTAAGCCATCGGGTTTAAAAGAACACCTGACCGCATAAATGGCAATAAAATATACTTGACGATTCAATGTTTGTTCAAGAAGTAAACGGAAACTTATACTAGACACTAGGTCGATTTACCTGATGAACAGGAAAAAATGCTTAGCACTTGTTAGAGACCCACAGTTCAAGTATCTGCTGGCCGATCAAAATAACAGTTTTAAACCCGATATCATATCCTAGTACCAAGTGTTAACATGTTCGCGTATCTGAGCACTCCGCGAATTGCATATTAGCGGACGAATATGTCCCCAGAAGCGCTCAGTCTAGAACTCGGCTCAGCAGCCGGGCAGTCTCCTTGGCTCGAAGAACCTAGACAACTGTCTCTTTTTGCACCGCTTCCAGTATCTGCTGCACTTGGCTTCAGTGTCGAAAGACCGCAATATAACTAAATTCGTTGGTAGAATACGTTGTGTGTGGTCTGTTTTGCTCGGAGAGCAGAAGTCGTGTTTTTCAGCTTCGACGCAAACCAGTCTTGATGCCGTCAGTGCATGCATCCAGGGACCTTCAAAACTATAGAATATATGCAGTATGGCAGTTTTAATCTCCATGTAGTCGGCCTCCACGCGCCGAACATATATTCGTCACGGTTTATCCTCGTATTGTTATTACCAGTCCATCGACGAACCGTCACATTCATTATCGTAGTATTTAACACACTACGTGCTCCCCTCTTCTGAGGATAGGGCATTTGATTTGCGGACTTGGTTCGGGAAAACAAGTTGATGGCCTGTTCACTTATCGCAAATCACGTTCCCGCTGTCATCCCCTTTCCTGCTCTCCTGACGGAAACTTGATGCAGTAGTTGCCAGTGGCACCAGCGATGCCAAATCCACTATTTTCTCGACGGACTTGGAAGTTGCAACTCGTTAGTTAGATTTATTGGGTACACAAAAAATCACCGGCGGATGTGAAATACTCTGCTTACAACTCTTTTCAACTTTTGCTGCACATATGACCACTCACACAGAGCACCAAGGAGCAGCTCTTCATTACTTCCCCAAATCATTAATTTTTTTATTTTTTTATTGAATATGACAATTTCTTAATCTCTAACAGAAAGCTCTTGCTGTCAACTCTTTGACGAGCTCGAACTTCCTAGAAGATCTTAGTCTGCGCCTAGGTGGGTTTCGAAGGCAGTCAGGACAGCCAGTCTGTCCGTCTATGGTACGGTCGAGAGAAAGGCAGGCAAACCTCCACAGAACCCGTCAAGGGAGGGAGGAGGTAGAGGCTGATAAATGCGGCCAATTGACACCAGCAATATATACAGCATGGCAAGTACTGCAAGTAAAATGCCCCAATTTTCGAAAGAATGGTAATCACCCACAAAACAACATTAAATAGGGTTGCAATGCTGCTTATCGTGCATTCTAAGCTCACGGTTTTTCAGTTAAGCCAGGATGCCGGCCCTGTAATGAGCTTCTTTCTGACCACTTATAAAATGTAGATTCACAAAAAATGGCTGCTTAAATATAATGTATTTTTGTCATTGATTTTCACTAACTGTATTAATTTTAATATATTTTACAAAACGCATGGACAAATACATTTTTTTCTGTACCCGTTTGGTTGGAAACTACGCCTTCTTTAAATTTTGTAGTTAAAGAAAGGGTATCTTTCGGTTTTAAAAAAGTTTATAAATTGTCGAATGATTTGGAAATTTACCTATCGCTATACCTGAGTCCAATGTTTCTAAGCCGCATGCTGTGTACATTCTGTTTAAGAAAAAACGGTTTTGCCTGCAGGTTGAGGAAGAGGTTGCATAGTTCTCATAAAATCTTGCAATATATGTGTGTCATGTTGTATATATTATAGGCAGCATTGCTAAATTGATGGATACACTATATTAGGAGTTAACCCCTCACAGTCGTAAAACATCTCATAATTAAACATTTTTTTCTAAAAGCGAAGGATACCACTTCTTTAAGTATAAAATTAAATGATAACATAATTTTCTACCAAACGAGTACAAGAAAAATAGTTTCGTTTATGTTTTCCATAAAATATATTTGAATAAGGGCAGTCGGAATTCATGATAAAATGCATACTATTTAAGTAGTCATTTTTTACAGTATTTACTTTTTGTAAGTGGTCAGAAAGAAGCTCCTTATAGAGCCGGGATCCTAGCGTGACTGAAAAGACTTGAAATTAGACTGTATAATAAAAATTTTGCAACCCTAGTTAATGTTGGTTTGCGAGTGATTACCATTTTTTTGAAACATGCGGCATTTTGCTTGCAGCACTCGCCATACTGTAATTCTCCAGTGCATTAGTGCAATTGCAAAGACGGAATATTTTTATCCAAATGCGTTAGCTCAAGATGTGTTTTTTTGGAAATTATATCAGTAAAATTGAGTACGAGATGTAGTACATTTTTGATCTAAACAGTCGCGTAATTTCCATCTTTTACAACGCTCGAACACAGTTTTTTGTTTGTCCGAAAAGTGATTGTATGGTAAACTCAGAAAGAATTTAAGTAGGCTCGTTGTAACATGGAACCCAAGAACGCTGGGTGATTAGAGTCAAGACACCCCCAACTGTTGGAATAGATGCAAATTTGGGCACAAACTAAAAACATTTCAATATCAGGAGCACTTTAAACCCGGCGCGCGCAAACAAACAATTATAAACAGTACAAATCAAACGTAACTGCGGATGAAATTTGCGTCAGCGGCGGTCTTTGAGCTGCCCAAAACAGTCATTTATCTGAGGGCCGTAGACGCAAACATGTATAGTCGACAGAAACAGCAGTCGAACACATAATGTTGCGCTCATGGGGGCTAGTTGAATCGTGGGAAGAAAACCCATAATCAGTCAGTCTTCCTGTACATTTCGCGGACGGCATTTTCAAACAATGTGTGCGTTAAGTCTAGCGATTTAATGCTTGTCTGAGATCAAACAAACCTATTATTGTTCACCTCACGAGTTGGCGGTTTAAACTACGAGTAACTGGATGGTCTTGTGTATAAATTCTGTGAAACCGATTTGCATATTTGTTCAGTGCCTGTACTCAACCTAAAAATAACCAACGGTTCGCACGATTGAGGATGATTTCCTTGACATCAGGTTAATCAAAAATAATTTATCTTCTATGAAATCTAGAAAGCCAAGCTTACGCTTCCGTAGAGTAGATTGGCAACCCTGGACAGCTCTAGCCTAAAACGGAAAGAAGAACCCATGAACGAAATAAAAAGTGGTATGTAATGGTATTTACCGACAAACGGAGAGCACACTCACGAAGGCCTTTTCTGTCTCGTTGTCTCGTTGAACGTTTATTTTTTACTCTAAACTCGGACTCTAGGTTTTTAGATGACTTCCCAATGTTTATCACAAGGCAGCGTTTGGTGCTAATACCTCAAAATCGTGCTTCTATAGAATGCAAGGGTTAAAAATCTTTAAGGCCTGTTATGTCGTCATAAGTCTTCTAGATTTTCAAAATTCACGGTAAGAGTAGATTATTTGGTGATAATTCGTCTGCGCGTGTCCACCCATTTTCTGGCACGGCTATGCAGCAATGTCATGCGATAAATACGTCAAGCGTGCAGTTCGTGTGAATGTGACGTAGTCATTGCGCCCTAAAAGATTCAGGCATCGGTATCACGAAAATCTATTTTAAACTTCTGAACAAAGAACCCACCCCATAAGTTGGTTCATTTTTCAAAAACGAGGGCATAATAGGAATTTTTCTAGCTGTAGAGCGCATACTCGCAGATGCTGTTCCACTTCTTGGCTCATTGTGGCGTCGTGATATACCGACTGTAGTCTAAATAAGGCGAACATTCGCACTCCAGTTTGTGTGTGTATACCACAGCTTTATAATCTGATCTTTCGAACTCTTACTAGGTTCAGTCGTCAGAGATCAGTGCGACAACAAAAAAGTAACAATTAAAGGGAGCAGGGGCGAATCAAACACCAGTGGCTGAGTTCTTATCTCTGATGATGGACTCTTGTAAGAATTCAGAAGCTTGGACAAATTAAGCCATGCTTCCAGTAAGGGAAGAACCTTCTTCTTTTTCTTTATTTGAAGCCTGACTTGTTGTGTAAGAAATCAAGTTCTACGTCAATTAACAAAGCTTTGAGGCATCGATAATATTTTGCATGTCATTACGATGGATTGCAAATGTTTTCAGTGAAACAGGACTAATCTCAGTCTTCCTTGGAGAGCGTTTAACCCCTGAAAATTTTGCACAGATTCAGCAAGGGGACTACCATTTCTACGTGTATGATAAACGGCTGATGGTTCATTTATATAATTAAATTGACTTCAGAAAGCAGCGGCGCAGTCGCGGACTAGGGAACTCAGTGATCTATGAATGGTTTTAAAGGCACATGTAGATACGACAGTTCGTATACTGGATGAATCGAGCAATAAAACTGCAATCGACAGGGATAACCTCCCTGCATATGCAACCGACCACGATACGCCCTGAAAATGACACAGTTTTGACGTCAGTTGACATCCGCCCAAGCCACGACTATTTGGGAGTCCTGATAAATTCAAGAGTGCCATAGCTTTTATTAATGAGCAATGCGCTAGTGTGCAGAGACTATATATATTTTCCAGTGTAAATGTCATGCTATCTTCAGTCTGAACCCCTCAACCAATTGATGGCGAGATAAGATGCGATGGCTAATAGGGCTAAAGAGTCCATCTGCGCATGCCAGGCTCAACCTAGTCTCCAAATTATGTACCAGGCCGCACAAGAGTGTGGGCTTCCCGCTTAAGTAAGTTTTTCATGTTTTGGCATGCCATGCTTTGTCTGCCATATCTGCGAGAACACAGGTTATTAAATGTAGCGGCGTGTGTATTAAGGTATGGTCAGATGTTGTATTTTACACTCAACTTTTTTGTTTTGTCGAGAATTTGCATGTAGTCACTTATGGTTGGGTGGACTGATGTACTAATCGCACTTCCTGAGGTGTGGGTAAGTTAGATGGGAGTGGCGGAAGAATATCGGATTCTTTGCACTGGTTCGCCACGCTCATTGTGATGGATTAAGGAGTGACCGGCTAGCCCTATGTGTGATTCAAATGTGATGATAGCAATAACATCGGGATGGGGGACTGCGTTACTACTACTTCTGGTGCTGACGACGCTGGTGCGGACTGTATTAGTAATGCCGGTGGTGGAGGCATTTTCAGGTGCAGAAGATGGGTTGATCTTGGTGATGTTTCGCTGAATCTTACTGTCGTGTATGTGTTATGATCGAAAAGACTCATGCAGTGTCTGGAACAGTGAGGCCTGCGTGCCTATGAAGTTTAACTAAGTATAGAAAGAGAAGGGGCAATGGCTGGAACGAGAAGTTTATTGGCTTGGCGTTTTGGATTTTGGCTTCAGCCCAGGATCAGAGACAACCACAGAAAAGGGCTTGCTGGTGGTTTAAGCGGGATTTTGCTAGATCAGGCCAACAAACGGTTTGTGCCAGCGATCCTTCTGACGTGACTAAAGGCTGCAACTCAAGACTGATTGACCAATGACCACCTTTTGATGTGATCTGTATGGGGTCTTGTCGCATGTGAAGTCTAAGACTCCCCTAGAGAAGACTTCATAATGTTGGACGTGAGAGGCCGGTTGTGTGTGCCACGCATAGACGGGCTGCTTAATTCTGTCAGGCGCTGCGCACACGCTAACCTCCGTTGGTACTGGTTTCGTCCTGTTTCTTCGGACTGCAATAAGTGGTTTGGGGGAAAAGGATGGGGTATGTGCTGCGGGAGTTCCGCGGACTGTAAAACACTGCAGATGCCAGTCAAGACTACGACCATCTTGGGACCACAGCGGCTCTCTATGCTGACGAAAATCCAAATATCAGCATCTGATACATACACAGGTGTAGTTGTGCAGTCGCTCTTCGCCAATAGACCTGGCAATCGGCTGTCGTGCAGTGATTCCATGAATAGTCACCTACCGCCCAACTCCCGGTCGGTTCCTCTCGAGTCACAAGCTTGCTGGTTCCTTAACATTAACTCACTTAAAACGCATCAACACGTGTTGCATAAAAGAGAACAATAAGAAGAAATCAGGGACTGGTTATCAGCCCACAAGAACGATACAAGCGTGCAGCCACGGCATTTTCAGAAGTTTCAGTCTCAATCTGCACCTATTGATGTACGATATTCTAGTACGCAGGATTTGCATATTGCCGCCTTTAAATGCAGCAGACAATAACTATATACGAATAAACGTCCATCTAATAAGTACAAACAACGAGAATATATTCATTTAAAAGGTACTGAATTCGACCCCCGTAAAATTGCTTTCAAACTTTGAATACGAAGTGGGTAAGATGCTATATGGCATGAACTACAATCGCATTTGCAGTGCCTACAAACGAAAGAAACTACTGACATAGTTGTTCATTTTGTTTTTCGACTGACTATAAAGTGTATCAACGGAAAGTTTTTCTAATTAAATATACTTGTCATATGTGCAAGTGTCAACTCTTAATCGTAAGCGTGCATGACGAAGAACATCACGAATGTATTCCCTATTGGCAAAATGAACTCTCAATAGGCCAACTGTTTTGACATAAGGACTTCTTCTCAAATTCATGCTCAGTGTTAGTCAAACTTTATATACGCCCTACGCCTAGTTATTCAGAGTCTGAATCAACTAATTTCTTAGAGAAATTGGACTGAAACGATATCTTTGGTATGGGTGCCATGGCGCATTATGCAAATATGGGGAAGACAAGCTAGAAGCAAATACTCACTTTGACTTTTTGGGAATGCTTATGGAGAGAAATTGGAGCTTAGTCTGCAGCAGAAGTACCTCAACGAGATCATAGGCCTCATCAGCGAAATCTAAAATAGAGCAAATGGGACAGAAATGGCTGCTAGCTAGAGTTTCTGTCAGTTAGGAGCAGGGAGGAAAGCAATTAGTGCCAAAAGGCTCCAATCAGTGGGTAGATTAAACATCTAGGGCTGGATTGAAGAAAACCACCCAGAATCAAATAGTGCGCTTAGATGATCTTGCATAAAACTGGGCAAAAGGTAACAGAGACTTAGAATTATGGTATTCGGCCATGTGTTTTGTCAAAGGTCGGCATGTCGAGGTCCTTAAGAATGGGCGAGGGTGTGCGCAATGTTCATCGGTCGAGTACGCGGAGTGAACATCACTGTTGAATGCATGACTTAAAGAATTGCCGTCGGTGTTGGCCACGGAAGTGAAAGTGCCTGTGTTAGCGTCTTCTGGAAGCCCATCACCGCATTCGCTAGCCTATAGTTATTGTATCCGCTGTTGCTAGCACCCGTTGGCGTAGGCCCTTAGAGAAGTTCGTTGGTCCGTGATAGACAATTTGAAATGCTTCCTTGGGAGCAACTCTGTGATTCGAACCGACTAGATGTGCAGGAATAGAACTTGAGATCTATCTATTTTCCCATTTGCTTAACCAGGTGGTATGTTTTCACATGTCCCTAACGTGCCGAATTCGTCATGTGAGCAAGAAGACTATTCACCGCAAGTTACAAAGCAAATGTTTCAAAATAATGAGGCCGCTGAGATTGATGTATGTCTGCTTGAATCTAAAAGGGTGTATGAGGTCCATTTCCTATTAGAGCTTCACTAATAATGACTATGTCGGCTAGTAAGCAGACCTTTAGATAGCTGATTTATACAAAGCACATCGTGCTTGCTAAATAGCATCCTCCACTTGATTCATCGGCCGGTTGATCCGACGGACTCCATATAGTGTTGATTATTAATATGCGAGAAAATTCGAGGTCCAAATAAAATATTCCTTATATCATCTCCAGAAGTGAAAGAAGAAGAGGAGATGACTTCTGAGACCAAAGTGTATTCTGGTTGACGTTTCAAAAGCTCGCTCGCTTCCATTGTCAGAGCGAGGTGGCTGTATTCCTGTTCGTGTCAGATAAATGTGAACGACCAGTCGCCTTGCCTAATGCCCGTGTGTCACAAAAACGACTTGACACAGCTCAAGAAGACGCGGACAATTCAAACAGCCACAAAAAATCGATCGGTGCAATCGATTGACACACGGGCATTAAGCAAGGCGAATGGTGGTTCACATTTCTTTGACACGAACAGGAATACAGACACCTCGTTCTGACGATGGAAGCGAGCGAGCTTTTGAAACGTCAGCCAGAATACACTTTGGTCCCAGAAATCGTCTCCTCTTCTTCTTCCTCTTTTGGGGATGATGTAAGGAGTGTTGATTATGCTAGGAGCTCAGCTCAGATATGGTCTGAGCATCTTTTTAAATGGGTCATTTCATAGTCCCGATGCCCCTGGCCTCTACGTATACCACAGTTTGGGACAGAAATATCACAGGTTTACCGCTCACAGATAGCAGTTGGTTTCAACGTGTACCAATGCGCATTCAGTCTTCCCAGTAAAAACGCTTATTTAAAGTTCTCGCACGAAAGAGAAATTCTACAGACCGGTACATCGTCCTTCCATAGGACACTTTACCGCAGCCACAACGGTCCGGGCCATCCGAATTTAATGTCTATTTACCGGATAGGGCCCCGTGTGCCGCTGGCATGTTCAAATTGTGTGACTCCCAAACAAACTCATTCGATGTCGTTTGCCGTACTT